GACATACAGTACCGTGTTAGAATTAATTGTATAAAAAATTATATAAATCTTAGCTGGCATGGTATATAGTCATGAACATTGGCAGCAATAGCGATTGTTTCGTACAGATTCTATAGCAACAGATTTGAATGAAAATGAGCGAAGCCTATTTGTTTGCAAGTAAACTTGGTGCATACCTTGGGCAAATATCCTTGCAAATGCCTACCAAACTGACAAATCAATACATCGGTGTACATTCTTTTCTTTGGGAAGAATATTCCAGTAGCCAATTATACTTGGCATACTCTCGTCCAGCAGTGCAGCAGTACCTACTATCATTTAGTTATTTTTAAAACAGGAATAAATTGAATAAGGCGTAGTAAGTACATATTTGTTAACGATGCACCATATGAACAGTTCCTGCTTATTTCGCAGCTACATAAGGTTGAAATTTAAAAAAAGTCTTCACTAAGTATCAACAATGACGGAATAGAATTATGAATCGTAAAATTACTGTTTATAACGCGAAAGGAAAGCCTTTTCGGATCCAAAATAAAAGTAGAGAAAAGTCAAAGTTGCAGATGACATTTTTGTTATTCATGGTGTATCCTGGCTAGTCTCAAATGCTTCTCATTCTCAAAGATTGCATAAGGCATGCAGCAATAAAAAAAATCAAATCTATCTTACAACTGACCACGAAAAATCGCAACGTTGAGGTACATGCTCTTTCACAACGCCGTCGATGACTAACCTATACCAATACGTACTGATGAAACTTGTTTTTTACAATTCACAAAACTCGTCAGCATTTTCGGCAATTGTTTGGTACACCAGATATGTATGGAAACTCGCGCTCTTTTATATGCTTTAGCAGAAAATTGAAAATTTTATGCAAAATGTCAACATCTGTCAACCCGACGATTTGAGGCTGATCGTCATGTAGTATGCTCTTGCATCCTAGCTATTGATTTCGACGTCGAGGATCAAAACAAGTGGCATATAGTTGTAATCACTGTTCTTGACGAATAAGGCTACTAGTATCCTTTTATATATCCCCATCTACCACATACATACACATGCAATCTACCTGTCGAAACGTTTGTTCGGTAAACTCATAGACATACGTTTTTTAGTTGTGTGTCTCCGCCTCGAAAACTTTATCGTTACGTATGAGTGCTCTTCAATCATATTTGTCAGAGTGACAATTTAGTTGACAACGGCGTGCAATTTGAGTTGTCCTGTCATCAATCTTCAATATAAAATTGTACAATGCCCGGGAATACGATCAATGGAGAAGGCCGACAGCTGGTGCTAAATGCATTAGGAAGAGAGTGAAAAAAGCGATCCTCTGTTACCCACTTCATGCGTACTGGGGAGAGTAGCAGGTGCGGTGGAGATTAGTCTGCGCCCATGCTCCGGAGACACGATCTGCTCACTTAATTCACATGGCGTTGATGACGTAACCACCAAGAAGGGTGACTACAACTATATCCTTGCTCATTTTATCTAGTCCGAATTCGTATACCTACACTTCCTATACTTAGCACTTTGCAAAACAACTGAGACAAAGGCATATGCATTGCTAGGAAGTACGAAACAGTATGAAGTTCAAATATTCTACTGTTATTTGTTTTTCTGATTGTGCCACTAAAATGATTCAGAGCTTCTTAGGAAATCGATATCAAAGGGCACACATTGACACGGTTCTATCTTCAAAGTGCCTCATTTCCTCCGGAGTGCCTCAAGGGTCTGATCTTGGGCCACTCCTATTCATTTTGTATATTTCTGATCTCCACGCAGTTGTTAAATATTGTAATACCCAATTCTTTGCCGACGATTCACAGATCTTCAGTCATTTTCATAATCACGACATTCGAAATGCTGAATCTGAGGTAAATGGAGATATAAAATCTATATATATAAATGGTGAGACTATAGAAGTAGGTGGTTCAATGAAAAACGTGGGAGTAACTTGTTTTAAGTTGTTTTTCAATTTTACGTCAATTATATCTTAATAAACAATTTCTTGAATCTACAACTGAAAAAATTTGTGTGAATCTTTGGTAATGTCCAAAATTAGTTATTGCAATTTATTTTAACTTTCATTTCTTGACTCAATAGCTCTAACACGTCTCCAAAAAATCCAAAACTCATGTTGTAGGTTAATCAATAATTTGAAAAAATATGATCATATCAGCCCATTTTTCAAAGTCATGAAGTGGTTGAGAGTAAATGAACTGTGTGGGCTACCACTTAGTTACTTACACCCACAGGCTTTTGCTATCATCCATTCCGCGGTGTTTGAGAAATAAGCTGATAACTAGAAGTAATATGCATTCTAGGAACATTCGATTTACTGAAAAATCACAATGCCCTTCACATTATTTCGTAAATGCTTCACCTACAACGGATTTTTTACAATACTCTACCTCGATCCACAAAGTTGCTATCATATGATGAATTCAAAAGACATATGAAGAAATTTATTTTGAATAGAAGTATATAAATTAGTTGATAACATTTATCTCTCACCTCACAAAAATATTTCCAATTTGGCATTCTTTTGTTTCGTATAACTGTTACAATTTTATACTTTTAACTCATGAAATATTGAATAGCCTTCACTTATATATGTTATATACATTATATTCTTTATAGACCTACATTTTTGAACTTCTAACCTATCAAATGTATTTATGTTATTTGTATTGCTTTTTTCAGTTTTTCTTTTTTTTGAGGGGGGGGGTTAAGTGGCAGAGTAGCATTATGCTAAACTTCGCCCCCTAAATAAAGACGATTTATAATTATTATTATTATTATTTGTGGTCACGCTTTGACGTATCGTTGCGAATAATTAATACCATGTAACAATAGGTATGTTTCGCTCTCGAACCATACAACGCAGAGTAAATAAATTATACAACCCTATACGTCATTTAACACATAATACTTACTACGCCTATCAAATAGCATATATTGAATATTTATTATGTATAATTACATAAATTATGGAAAATAGTAAAATAAATGTATTATACAAACCTAAACAGATACAAAATTAGACTCATTACGAGATCAGTCATTGATTGCCATTATTTGGCACTGAGTGTACCCCCAACAGCAACATTATACTGTGGTCGTCTGAATGAAGACATACATACAATCCAAGGGTAATATGACAGCTGATCGACTGCAAAAGGATTGAAATCAGAATTCCGGAGTTTTCTGAAACATGTCAGATGTAGAACCAATCATACCAGTAATGAACCAGCAAAATACATACTACTTCTCTATGCCTAGAGAACAATTTCGATTTGACGATGGAATTAGAGAAAACTTTCAACTAAGGAATCATCTCAATAACATATGACGCTAAAAATATGTGAACATTAAGATGAGATAATTAAGCACGTTTTAATGCTAGAGTTCATTCTGGGGGCGTGTTGGTGTTCCTTTGCTAAAGCGTGGAAACTCCGCTCTGTTGCATGACCACATTCTTTAATAGTTTGTATTCAGACTTTTATGATGTGCTTTTATAACACTTATTGCGTTAGTAAGTAGAGACATCAAAGGGAGCTGAGTAGCCAAGAGGTTTGCAGGTGGAGCTGCTAATCAGTCTAAATCGAAGGCTCGCAGGGTTTAACCTCCGCCTCGGAAGTTTGTTAAGCCATTGCTAGGTGGAGATCGTCAGATTGTTCATCTACATCCGCGCAATATTTTGAGTTCTTCAAACGACCCTACACTTATTTGCTTTCCGTTCAGCAGTCTCCAGAACTAGGACTTCTTTACCCTGTCTATGATGCGCCTATGATATTTGACGACTCTCCGCCTGAATTAGTGTGTGTGTCGTATCCCTCATATTTATCTGATATTTATAGAAAATTCAAAAAAAATGTGAAAACCCTAAAACAATAGTGTTCTGGCTCCTTTACCCTGTCTATGATGCGCCCATGATAGTTGATGGCTGTTCGCCATCTGATACCGCCTAGATCAGTGTAGTGCCTATATCGCACTGATCAGTTGCTAATGAGCACAAAACAGCGCTGCCTGCGACTGTTCGTGATCATAAATACGAAAGCAAACATGTCCACTTTAATCGTATTTATGCATGTATGCCTAGAAGGCCATCCGTTGGTCTGCTCTGTGAATACTTGGAATTTCAGCTGCTAGGTGGGTTGATGGTTTTGATGGTGCATAACGTCGATTAGTTACGAGCCGGTAGCGAAGGTGTCTTCCATTAGCTTGGCAATCAGATTTTTCGCCTACCTCCGCACAAATTCAATCGCTCTTTCTGTTACTTCCAGTTTTATAATTTCCGACGGTACATGCTACTGAATTTTGTTTCCTACCTTGGCCTCATTTCAATGTACTGAGGGGGCTTTACGCATATTAGGTGCCTAATTTGAAAAAAATTGGCTGAATGTGTAAAAAAACTCTAATGTGAACTCGTGTGCGTCGCAATGTAAATGATTGTGAACCCCTACGTGTAATGTGAAAATAATGTTCACGAATAAAATCAAAGCATAGAGTAAAATAAGGGCCATGAGCGAACATACAAGAATACCGATGCCAGGAGTCTACAGGAACACGGCTCTTGAAGGGAAGAAGCTAATTTATCTGTATAAGTAGACAGTACCACAGCATCTGCCCGACAAAGCCTCGCCTGGACTAATGTTTCCACATCCGGAGAGTGCCCGCTCCGACTGCACTGCATATTTCTTCAGGTTCGTTAATATGCAATTTCGAACGTCTCCCGTATCCACAGGTATGCTAATGGACTGTATATATCAATGTTTATCAATGATGCTTCTGTAATTTATACATACATGTTTTAGCCAGTCCTACTTGACCAATTCTACTTGGCCTGGGCAAAACTCTCCTTTACATCCTTCGTCATGTTCTTGAGAAAATATTTTTCCTGTGGTTGTTGGTCAATACTTCTGTAGCAATATATGCTAGTATGTAGCTGTTATTGAGTTTTTTTGACATACTCAAAAATTTCTAATTTATTTACATTTAAGAAATTGACAGAAAAGGAAATGATATTTGAACAAATGTCTAGAAAAAGTTAACAATATCATTATATTAGCATACCCATAATAGCACAGTGGAAAATGAGCGGAGTGAATGAAAAGTATGCTCTGAAGGCTTTTTTATATGCCATTACCATGAGACTTGATCTCAAATTTTTGTTAGGATATTTTAACAACGAATTGCTTGGGAAACGAATTTTTAGAAATTTATCAATGAGCTGAGCGTGTTCAACGTGAAAAATAATAATTAATTCTCATTTATGTTATGAGAAAAGGCTTGCCACATTGGGTGAGGTGAATAAAACCAAGTAAGCACTTCATAAGCATTTACTTACGAGAAAAGTGTTGCCTTGAGAGTTGAAGCAAATGCTTGGCAATGAGTGAATAATTGTAAGGCATGACTCAGAAAGGTCTACTCGTTAATATTGAGGTAATACTTGCGGCGCGTGCAAGTCTTAGCTTGTTTATCCTTATTCACATTCATAAATCGTCCTATTTACGAGTATTTGCTTTGTAAACCTTACGCGTCGTATAAATCTCTTTAGGTTTCTGTATATTTTTGTTTAACTAAGTTATTTTTAATTCGGACACAAGAAAGCTCAAGACTACTAACAATTAGGATGTCTTCTAGTGACGAAGAAAGTAAACAACCGAAACTTGTTTCTGATAACCGAGCACAGTTAGTCAGAATCTTGCAGCCAGAAAACAATAAAATAGTACTAAATAAGTCAATGGTACCAAAAATGGTTTCAGCAAAAGAAACTGCCTGGATGATAATTAGAGAGGAATTCATAAAATATACAGGGAAAAACGTAACTATAGATCAGTTGAAAAAACTTCTTAACAATATGTAAAGCACTGTTAAGAAAAAACTGACTTGTCATCAACAGGAAATAAACCAATCAAGTTACTTCAATGGGAAAAAGATTTTCGAGAAATTTTAAATGCTGAAGAAAATAGTAAAATACCAGGAGCAATAACAGTTGGGCTAGATTCCAGTAATAAATGTGTTTTACTTCCCACACAGTTAAATGTAAGCGAAGCAACAACAGAAACGAGAAAGGTTAGTCAGCAGAGACATATTTTACGCAAAGAACATGCTGCAGATATTTCTTCCGTGTCCAGTGGCCACAATTCTAAAAAACAAAGGTTGTTAGCAACAGAAACAGAAGAAACTGTAGGTTTATCAACTCCTGAACTTCAACGCTTAGTACTACTAGAGCAGTTGAAACTAACTAGACTACAAAGTGAAAAAGAGGAACTCCAACTGAAAAACCTAGGTCGGCAAGAAGACGAAGCTATTAATACCCAAAAGAATGACGATCCTTTAGTTAATTCGGAATTTAGATTGCAAGACCTTCTTTTAAAGTAAGTTTTCCAATACATTTATGAATAATTAGAATTTATCTATAATTTCTCATGTATAATGTATCAAAACCTTTGGTACGAGTAGATATAGTATCGTGTTAATTAGAATAACTGTATTTAAGAGCTACATAATTTTATTTGATACCTATTATCTATGATAAATATGTTGGGAACATATTTTGTTATTTAAATTGAATTAAACTGATTCATTATTCGGACTATTTCTAAGCGCTTTTCTTCACCAAGACGTCTAATGTCTCCTTGCTCTTGCTCAACAATTTCTGGGACAGCATCATGATCGTCGTTATTATTTTCTATTCCATAGTCCCACTCATCCTGCAAATACTTAGCAATATTATGAAGTACAGCACAACATATGTGTATTTTCGGTACATTCCTTATTGCGAGTCTAATCCTATTTGCTAGAATTGGAAAGCGCTGTTTTAGTTGGCCAGATACACGTTCTATTACAACTCTTTCTTTTGAATGTAATCTGTTGTACCGCCGTTCTAATTCAGTTTGTGGTTGTCTAAATGGTGCTAAAAGCCATGGAGATATACCATATCCGCTGTCCCCTAGCAAGCAAGCATTCCCTTTTAATCTTGCAAGTCTTTGTTGAACAGCACTTTGTCTCCAAATGCTACTATCGTGCACACTTCCAGGCAATTGCACGTCTATACTTGTGATCCTTTCCATTGCATGACATGTCATCTGAACATTTAATGAAGCAACATTTTTCCTATTTATGTACTTACTCATCGCCAAACTGCCCTTCAGGTTAATTTGTATATGGGTCTAATCAAGTACGCCAATTACGGTGGAATCCTGTATTTTGCCATCCAACATGTGCAACATAATCTACAGTCTTACAAACTGTTGTTCTTTCAATTCCAAAATCGTTTGTTCGATCACGAAATTGTTTAACTTTACGTATATTCATAAATGCTGCCATAATTTAGACACATCAAATTATCAATTGCGGCAAGGTACCATCAAACCAACCTTGCGAAAATGAAAGTATTTACTTAATACGTAAAATTTTCTATTGCTGTTATTCACTCCAATCGTAAGTGAACACTCAAAATAGTTACTTTAGGAGTAATAACTCGATATAGCAAGTGTTTGCTTGACAAGTATAAGTGAAAGTTTTATTAATCACTTACTACCAAGAATTTACTTTAAAATTATGAAGTAAAAGCATTTACTCTCTTTTATTCACCTCACCCATTGTGTTAAATAGTATAGTAAAAGCTCATATTAGTACTTTCGGTTTGCATTGATGAGATTTGAAAGAAAATATTAATATTCGGTCAATTTTAAACAAAATTCCAATTGGAAACATCTGCAAACTCGTAGGTAAGTACCGAATCAATAAACGACCTAAATTTTCTTATGAACATAGAATAGAATAGAATAGAATAATGATTTATTTGTGTGAGCCTGTAAATAGGATACAAAACGTCAAAATAAAAAGAAAAGATGTGGATAATTAATATATGACATGAAAGAATTGGGATACAGAAACACATATAAAAATAACGTGTTACTCGCACAAAAATTCATTTGTATTATAAAATCCCTTATTTAGTAAGAGGTTCCGAAGTTTACTTTGAACAAAGACAAGCTGGTAATCTACTTAATATCTAAAGGTTATTTATTATACTTGGCACTGCATAAATACATCCGACTCTTTTTATAAGCACTAAGGTTAACATTTTGATTATGAATATGGGTATTGTATCTAGTATTGTAGGTGTGTATCTCCCTGCGCTGAGGGAATGAATCTGTGTATTATTTAACAAATAAGCATGAGTAGTAGATCAATAATGACGGTAACGTTAAAATTTTATTATCTTTAAATACCGGTCTACAGCTGTAAAGTAGGCTGAGACCAAATTCTAATCTAATTAGTCTCTTTTGCAGAATGAATATTCTCTGTATGCCACAAGAAATGCCCCAATATATAATCAAGTACTTCATGTGACAGTACGCCATTGCAAAATAAGCATTAAGGAGACACCTACGACCGTAAAACGGGGTCAATAGAAATAATTTTGAGGTTTTCAGACTTTGTAGCTAGGTTGCTATTTATCTAATCGGCAACGAAAAATATGCAAAATGTGTGTCACGGCTAATAGGTTTAAGGGCCTAGTGAGTACATTTGAAAAAGTTCCCAATTTAAAAAAAGAAAAAAGTAGTGTTTTTCTATTCATCCTCCAAACGGAGTGAAAAGAAACAATGCTTTGTTTTGCATTAGTTTGGCTCATATACCATTCCGGAGGTCAATAGAAGCATCTAAAAATATATAAATAATATGTTCAAATAATTTTTTACTTTTGTACTCTTATAACCATAGGAACAAAAAATTACATGTGTAGGAACAAATGAAAAAAGTTTTAACTTATATATAGAATCTAGATCTGCTGCGTTAATTCTCGCAATAGAATCTTCGTAAAAATAGATTGGATTTGGATTCCATTCTGAAAATTTTAGTAAAATAATGTTTTTCGGGTGACTTTCCGCTTATAGTATACCTAATCTATTTTTCACGATGCTTCATCACATCAGTGTTATTAGCTTTTTTAGATCCAGTCATCAAAGAAAATGAGGCAGAAACCGAAAAGAGCATTTGCCTTTATATGTATGATCACGCCTAAGCGTTATTAAAGTAAGTTAAGTACCTGTTTGCTTATGTCAAGTTTGAAATATTCATTTCCCAATTTCCTAATGGTTTTTATTTACTGTTTTCCAAATATTATCATTTATAAATAAAATAAAACATATAAAAAATATTATAAACATTTAGATTAACCTAATACTCGTAGCATTAAATCAAAAATAAATTCAAAGTTTTATTAATTCAGTACCTCCATACAAAATTTCCCACAGTGATATATCTAGCCATTATTTTCGAAACATGAATTTTATAGCAAACTAAATCGTGGAGTTGAAACCTATGTAAAAAATATTGTATCATAAATACAAAGATAACAGGAAGCACATATAGGGATCACAAAAACGAGCAGCTGGTGCTATTTTTATCTTTCAGTAATTGCTCCATGGAATAAAAACGCCGCACAAGTTATTGCGGATAATAGAGATGGAAGATTTCCACGGAATTAAGCTTCATTTGTTTCAATTTCGGAGTAACCCGTTATGATCAAATTGTCACAGCAGCCACGACGTTTAGACAAATTACGCTCGTGTGCAGTTCGGGAAAATTAAGTGTTCGCCGATTCTGTCCTACCAAACAAAATTGAAAATTGCTTTTGAGTAAATTAAGCGTAAAACACTTCGATATCTTGTACGGAAAGGTTTGTACTTTCACTTAGCTATTTAGCAATGTCAAAATATGAAATTTTAACCGAGCTTCTTAGCATTGAGAATGACGATTTTTAGGCCTTTCCAGGTATTGAATCGCTTGTAACTCGAAAATCCTCAGAGAAATGTTAGAGGGGACCTTTTTTGTTCAAAACGATCAGAAAAATAGAAAAATATTTACTTATTTACGGTTTCCCATTTTTTTTACCGAAGCAGGGACGAAGGAGCGGGATGATCGACCACTTCTGGATGGAAGGCAGAAGTCAGGCAGGTCTGTCTGGCAAGCGTATCGCGCGGCGTCGTCATGGAGGAGAACTCTGAGGAGCAAAGTCCGTTGGTGTAGCGGCAGAGGAGCGCTGACATCCCGCCGGTGCGAAAGGGTCCCGAATGTTTAGATTAGACTTAAAAGTAATTTCTCTAGTGTGTGTTTTAAAAGCTAATTTTGTATCAAAAGCTTTACCTAAGTCCCTAACTGTATCAGTTATCATGAGGTCACGGTTTTCATCTATATATTTATACATGAGGGAATTTTAACGCTCGAGTATCTGTTAGCATTTGTTCGAATTGATGTTGATCCTATTAGTACTACACCAACGAGAAGATTTTTGAGATCTCTGTAAGATTTACGCATCGTGGATATTTCTCAGTTATGCATAATCTGCAAACATCAACTAACTGTTATTTGATATATATTCTGCAGCATCGCTGACAAATAGATTGAATAAAACTGGGTCAATGTGAGATCCGTGGAGAACACCTGATAATGATGATTGTTTTGTAATTTGTTGAAAAAAAAGTTGCTTGGAGAAATTGCCTCTAGTTTACCGGCAACCTGTTGATTCATGTTTCCGCCTCTTCTAATGGCGCTTCTAAACGGACTATATGCCTACAACTTGGTCAGTCATTCTTGCCTTATTTTGTAGTAGTTGAATAATTATGGCCAGGTAAGTTCCTACGCATAGCAGACAATATTGCCATGATATAGTCGAGGTATAGCTGACATATATGGTCAGGACACAAATATTGCCCGTTGAGAGGCTTCATAATATACCAGCATCTGTTTAAAAATGATCAACGGATATCATCAATTACTAACAAACTACAAATAAACAACTTTTTGTTTTCTTCCGGACAATTTTTTGACAAGCTTTCCGTATCATCCTGAACAAAAAGTTGTCTTAGTATTTTCAATGCTTAAAGGCTTGGTTAACTATTACTTTAGAGGTTGCCAAGTGTCCAAGTGAAAGTTTAAATCTCTACCTACAAGACAACAGAGAGAATTTTAGATCTATCTTAATTTAAGGCGGTTTTCAGACTTGTTTGCTGAAACTAAATTGGCGATCTTTTGATTTTCGCATATTGTACAGTTAGTATCTCAATTTATAGCATCTTGAATTTTCGGGTATATTCTACACTTGAAATATTATACTTCTTTAAGAACATTATACATTCGCAATTTTTTGTATTCGCAAGTATCATATAATTTGCCCTAAATAATATCATTTACGTCGATATAGTTTTTTAAAATCGATAGAGCTACAGACAAAATACGAAAAAACTCAAAATCGCTCGTTTTTTGACGCTTTAGAAGCTCCTGTTCATTTTTCGAAATCATTTGAGGAGCGGTGTCGCAGCGGGTGGTTGAGGGCTTATCTTATAATTTTTTGGCGTTATATACTTCAAGCTCCTAACCCTGGTAATACTACAAACCTATCAGGCATGTTTCACACATAATTTTTCTCGTATATTTGTCCTTCCGTCTTAAAACCATAGAATTATTTTCGATTCTCACATCGACCGAATGAAAAAAAAGGATAAAATTAAAATTGTATTTTTTTGCTGAACCTTAGTAAACATCTGCCGTATTGAGGTTCTAAAAGGAGCGTTGCAAAGCTTCAAATGTATAATTTCTGAATCTTCTGGTGAAATATTTGCAGATTTCACATAGTCTTAGGGAATAGTGCGAAGGAAAAAATGCTAATTTTCTTATTTTCTTTATTTAGGTCAACGTACATGGAAAATATATTTCCACTAAATCGTCGCATATACTCCATAGCCTGTTTATTAGCTTCAATTTTCTTTTCCAAGACGCTGAGATATCGAATTTTCAATAAGAAATTACCTTTTTGACTTTGATCATCAAAGTCTCAGGAACCAACCATCATACTGAAAATCTAAATGTGGTTTCAAAGGTTGGAATAAGCCCTCTACGATGCTCAATGATCATTTATGAAAAAATAATTTTCTTCCATCCTTCATATGGACTTGAACAGGAAAAATAGATAGTTTATTATTTTTTGGAAAGCCAAGTGCTAAATTGCAAATTTTGACAAAATGGCTGAGTGTCCAAAACAAAAACTTCTGCGTATATTAAGGTGAAATACCACAGGTTTACTGTAGGTACATGGAGCTGTAATAGTCACTCTTAACATCAGAGATTTTGTCAATACTTGCAATTTAGGCCTTGGTCTTCCAAAAAACCATAAATTTCCTTTTCCTCTTTTCCTGTCCAGATGGCGACAAAAAATTCTGATATTCATTGATCCTCTTAGAGAAACTATTGTAGCTTTTGAAACCACTCCTAGATTTTCTGTACGATGAGCAAATCCAAAAGAATTCGATACCTCAGGAAGAAATACTAGCTAGTTAAATGAAGCTCCAATTTGTTTTTTCGAAAGCTCGATATAATAATAATAATAATAATAAAGGGTCTTTATTGCGCTAAACATTTAGTACATTACG